TTTTTAAACGCGTGCTTGAATAAAACTGACCAGACACATCATTACCAGACTATGAACACTAGGAAAAGTGAAAAAATACTTCTATCGCCAGCATAAATGCGTAATTATTTTTTTTACAGAAAAAGTAATTCTTCACCTTTGACTGAGTAACGCGTCGTAGAATGCAGATACGGGCATGCAAAATACACTTGTGAAAAGCTTGAAGTCTGGCGATTTTAAAACTATATACTTTCCCGGGTCTATTTGTAGTCATTTAGTCACAATTAGAAGATGAAAACAAGTATGCAAATAATAGTCCCGCTACCTCAAGGTGAGACTATTGCAAATCTTTTAAAATCATTGCCTTGCTATTATTTTTAATTTAATTGTTATTGCTGTTTGTAATTCATATTTTGTTTGGGTTTTCTTGATTCGTGATTTGGAGATTAGTTGGTGTCGCATTACCCCCAGGCCGATCTGCATGTGTGCTGTATCTGATTTGTTGGAAAGTCACGAACAAACAAAAAATGAAACATATCCTGTCCTAATCATGCCAGTCCCGCCATAATATAATATTACATTATACAAAACAACGTTTGCAAGAATGAAACACCCTTCATATATGTATATGTATATGTATATGACTAATAAGTTAGAAACGTAGCAGATACAAAAAATGGGGGTTGATCTTTTGAAATCATGTGAACAGTATTATTTTTCTTGATGTTATTTTATCGTGTCTTCATCTTCCCATTCACAGTTCCTCTATCCCCGGTCTGGAAACGACTGGCGTTCTTTCGTCTCGAACCGCTTCGCGGGTAAACAAACCGTTCACACGCGGACCGAGGGAGTCGGGAAGTCAGACAGATTACAATACCGTCGGAAATCAGAAAATATACCGTCATGCAAAGGGATACCTCATTGTATTACTTCACTTTGACCTCAAATTCGGGCTACTACAACGTAAACAAAACATGTAAACAAAATAAGCACTATGAAATTCGGGTATACGCATCAAAACCAACCTACCAACTCATAAACATTCAGCTCCCGCCATGTAAAAATTAATATCGGGAATTATGTTCATCTTCTAGTTTTACTAAGGAAAAAACGGCGCGTACTAACATGCTGATATCACTAAAAAAATCTAGTCAAAATGGCGTCGTTCATGTTAACGTGGTCGATCAAAAAACCTGTGATATTTCTGATTCTTTGGGGTTCATAACAGTTCAAGTCAACTATACGACTACTAATGACTTTATTCGATGCAAAAGTATAAAACAATGATTCAATTTTTGTATATAAATGATGTTTTAGCACAGAGTTGAGTACATTGTCATTTCAAAACGTCGCCATTTGCATTTACGATCGAAAAAGTATCCATAAAAGTCGCCCAATTTAACATTAAAAATGCGGTGTGACAAATAACAAATCAGCCCACCAATTTTTAATGATATGTTTTGAATCATTAAATGTCAAAATCGAAGACAAATATTGGTTTCGCGCTGAGAAGAAGAGTAAATAAAATAGAGTTCATTTCAATCACTCCAAAAATCAAACACGAAAAAATTACACGTATCCCACATCGTGTAACTATGGGTAAGATTCACCAAATCGTTCTAGGGCTGCTGCTGTATATGAAAATTTGTTGCGAAAATGTGTCGCTGCTGGTAAAATAGATGAATTAAAGAACTACTCATTAGAGAGTCTGTGCCCCATTGTTTCAAATGGTCGATTCCACCGTGCTGAACAATAAAGCATCGTGTGTCACGTGGCAGTGAATAGACCGGTTTTTACTTAAATAAGCCACATACTTCAGCTGGTTGCTACATACAACACGTATCCTACATCGTGTAACCATGGACAAGATTCACCAAATCGTTCTAGGGCTGCTGCTGTATAACATTATCGGAGCAAGTGAGTAAAAATTATAACGTATTTTTGTGTGACTATTTTCGAACCTTCGTATAGATTTTTAGTAGTTTTCTACCTAAAGGTAGCGAGACTATTATCTGTGTTGAAAATTACGATTTTCACATTTATTTATTAATTGATGAAATGCACCATCAGCTTTCATATGATAAAGTCAATATAACATAGAATGTCATGTAAGTTGGTTAAAATGTAGATTTTTTGAAGGGAAGCAAGGCAGCCTCAGTAGTGTTTTCCAAAATCAACAACACAGGTTTAATCTGTGTGCCTATAAGTTTCAAAGATAAATTCAAGACAAAGCAATGTTAGGATGTGTTATCAGTAGCTATCTGACACACAATGA